CAGCCTTATATTCTTTTTGCTTGCTCTTGATATATTCCTTCTTAAGACGATCTTTCTCTTTAGCTTTATAACGCTTAAGCTCTTCTAGCTTAGTGATTTCTTTATAATTATAAGCGATAAAATTACCAGTATATTTTTGTAATAATTACTTTTATTTTCAGAGACAAAGGAGCTTGGCTAAGATCGTCTTCTCCTCTTCCTCTAAGGAATTTTGTAATTTTACTAATCAACGCTATTTAGTATTGGTAAAGGTAGGATTTAATATCTTATACTTAATACTACTACTACCCTTTATATAATTACTGTAGTGATTAGAATAATTAGTACGGATATATATTTGTTTTAGGCGAATACAACGGTCGTAAGGAACGACAGAATGGTAACCTTCTTCGGAAATACGCTTAACTAGCTGGTTCTTACAAACGGACGACTTCGCTAGAGGTATAACAGCAGTAGTCAGAAAAATAGAAAATAAGAAAACAGAAATAAACGCTAGGGGACTTACGGGTTTAAGAACCTTTAGGGACCAAAGGGCTAAAAGGAGAGAGTAATATTATGGAATACAACGAACCCTGTAGATTACGGGAACTAGCGTAGGTATAACGGAAGGATTATAGCCAACTAACTTGGCCTAGGGGACAAGGACCACAGTTATATAACTATCTTGTGTTATGTAGCCTTAGAAAGATATAAGATTATAATTACTCGAGACTCAACGTTATATGATCAACAGGATAATATAAACAGGTATTCATCGGTAATAAGAGGAGACTTATCAACGATGAGCTCGGAACAGATCAACGATGAGACCCGGTCTTATTAGCAATAAGAGGAACTAGATATATAAGGACGCTCGCTTAGCAATATGTATTTAGTTCTTCGTGATTAATCAATCTAAGTTACTGTAATATACTCTTCAGATTACTCTTCTAGTTTTACACAAGTAACAAACACACATAAGTACAGGGAGCTCATCGGACTGACCTACTTAGCGCCCTATCTGGCACACCCTTCGAAGTTACTCAACAAGACCTAAGTCCGTGTAAGGCTTTGCATAGCAACGGTACGGTTGTAAGTCGATACTTAAGGCTTTATTGGTGTTTGCTCTTGAGAGGCCGAATTCAGCCCCCTCAGCGCAAATCGTTATTTTACTGAATAACAGAAGTAAGTTCTACCAACTGTCCAACCACTAATAGTGCGACCAGCTAGCGAGTGCGTAACACTAAGCATACGGTCCATTCGAGATCATAGAGAAAGTCGGCAACTTATAGAAGTTACAACTCCCTAAAAGTATAAAAGTTCACCCTATATTCGCACTAGAAAAGCTTCGCCATACAGCCCGTACAAAGCCTTTGACAGGCTAGATCCCAGATATTATACTACCACTGATCGTAAACGAACAGAAAGAATTTAAAGTCAATAAAATTAAGGACTCACGTCTATATTATCGGCGACTACAATACCGTGCTTCATAGATCAGCAACGAGGACGCAAACTGGTACCCGGCAGGCGATTTTAAAAATACACCAGAGAAACTTACAGCATTCTACTTAAGATACCTACACAAGCAAGGACCACCACTACGCTTACCACTATAGTTAGATGCTGCTAAGAAGGACGAATTCATAGAGAATCATAACGACGATAATAAACCGATGCCTGATAGACCGATCATTAATCGTCGGGATCAGAAGCCTAGAGACCAGGCTTCTTTAAAGGAGGGGACTATGTAACGATATGCCCATTCTCTGCTCGCTCCTACGATGTCACGTGCCCATACCACGTGACCCACCACCTGCCTATTTCCCATACACCATGTAGATAGCTTCCTCTCTTTTCTTTCTTCTCTAGTTTTGTTACTTTCGTCCAATACTACATGATTGCTTCATTCATTCGAGTTCCTCACACCCCTTTCCTAGTTAGTTAGTTAGTTAGGCTAGCCTTAAGTTTCAGGTTCTGGCCAGCAAAACGAGAGTTTTCTCGCGAAGCGGAACAATGTACAAATAGCAAATTGTATTAAGCAAATCAAACAATATCAAATGTATATCTGACTACTAGAGCATTGATCTCCAAAACATCGCAGCCTGTTACCGTTACCACCACACCATACTCGTTCGACTACCCTAGTCAGCTGACTGACCAGGGTGTATAGCTACCTAGTTAGCCGTAGAGGCAGCTTATCAAGAAACCTTCTTCACCACCAATAGCTTCAAAGCGTACACAGCCAGCGACACAGTACTCATGCTAGCAAGCATTAGGGGTAGAGGACATGATTGCGTAGCAAAATATATACTAGTATGTTCAGCAAATCATCGCATCTTTGTTGGCCACATCTTGCCTGGCCGAAGGATTTCTGGTGTGTCACCTTGCGCGATTGGCCATGCCCACTTCAAAATGACATTTAACCTGGTCAAATAGCCTGCTCTGTCTATCTGATCGAAATGATTTGGATGCTTCGCGTCTAGCGCGACAGCAACATACTGGCTGAAATGGACAGGTTCCGAGCAAGATATATGGATTTTACCATCAAAATAGCCTTGGATAACGCGACAGCGATCGTAGCAATCAAACACGATTAGAAGTTGCTATCATCAGGTTACTAAACATGCTACTCTCTGTTGCTGGATAGAGGGCTGATACATCCCATAACTGGCCATTTAGCCGTCCAATTCTATCCTAGTCTTGTGAATAGTTTTTCTGCTTCCAAATTTTGATGTCTTCTCTTTTCACGTATTTCCTTCAATGTCGGTATAAGTTGTAGAGCTCGTTGAATTCCCATAGTCTCCCCAATTCTTTGAAGTGTTTGAATCACCCATTCGTATGCCTCATCGGGAGCACCAGCTGCACCGCCAGCCATAGTCAAGGGGAACAGCAGCATGAATGCACCATTCAATGGTGGTAATCTTGCATCACCAGTGGCTGGGGTCATATTGCCAAAGGCCCCCATATGGCTGGCGGCGCCGGCACAGACGTTAATCGATAGCCGTGAGCTCGTCTCCAACGCTCGCTGCTGTTGCTGCAGGGTTTTTCGTGTTGGAGAAGGGTGACTAGCTAAATGCTTCAATATTATCTCATTCACAACCAGTCTACCCCAGAAATAGTTGTTCAGAATTCTTGAGGCCCACACATCATTGTAAATGAGATATTTGCCATTGAATGTGTGATGGTGGTCTTTCGACTCGACGAGGGTGAAAGCCCATTTGTCGGGGAGATTTTTCTCCCATTCGTCTAGCTCTGAGTCAAATGAAGCCGCAAAGCTAGCTATAGGTCCATGATTGAGATCTGGATCATTGCGAGAAGTATAATGTAGTTTCGCAAAGCGAATGAGAATATCCACCAGCTCGACAGCGGGCTCTTCGTCGGGTGTGATAGTAGAAATTCTATCAGGGGACCAGTTGATGAGAACGGAAGGAAGGTCCCCCTGTACCATAAAGTATCGGACAATAGAAATATATAGGTATTGTAACTGTGGGCGGGTATCGGCGTTGAGAGCCTTGCTAAAACTGGCTTGTTTAAGCAGAGCCGCCATGCCGTCCAGGTGTACCACCCAAGAGTCAACCTGCCTGGATGGACAACAGACCATCTAGCCAAAAGAAGTTAGTTCATGTTTGTCATTACTTGAAAAGGACAAAAGAGTAGAAGGAAGCACGGGCAAGACGCACCTCGAACAGGCTAAGCATCAGTATTAATTTAAATGTCAACACGGGATTGGCCAGTTGTGGATTCTCCACTGCAGCACGAACGATATTCAGGGCCGCCAGGTATTTCTCTCTCGCGGCTAGTAAGAGCGACTGATCATGGGTCACGTTTGACATGGCAGCTAGTCCCACTGCCATCACAGCGTCTCGAAGAGGTAACTCATTTGGAATGGTTGCCATTAGTGGGGACATCTCTAGCTCAGACATTTCTAGGGAGATGGGGTTTTTTGTTGTCTTCTGTATCGAGGTTGCGAACCGGTTAAAGAAGAATTTCAGTCCCTGATCCTCCAGGCTGGAAGGCATCACTGCCGGTATCACAGGTATCCAGAGCGACTCTGGCTTTCTCCGAACTACAAGCCCTGATCGGGATGACTTTGACTTATGCATTGGCCTGTCATAGTTCACCACTGCAGATTCATCTAGCAGTTTACGACGGGCCTCTGATTTAGACTTGGCCACGACCGACCGTTGAACCGTTTTGTCATTCTCGTCACGGAACAGAAGAGCCGGGATATCGCGGTAGCCACCACAAGTTTTCCCCGCTCTCTTGCACTGCGAACAGACCGGTTCTATACGATCACACTTTTCATTAGGTCAATTGAGTTAGCTTGATCAACTATGGATATCACTTATAGATCTATTGCAGCGTCACACATACCTTGATTCTCCTGATCCGACAGCTCTCACAATTCTTGCTCGGAAGGCCGTAAAAAGGCATAACTTTTCTAGATTGTGTAGTGGAATTAAGCGACTTCCCTGGGGTGCTCCGGGATCAAAAGGGGTAAAAGAATCGTAGAAAGCTGCAGAGTACCTAAACAGCGTCGTTGAGGCACAGCCCATCGGCTGGAGAGCCGTTGATGGATCGGCAGATCCGCTAGCCTAATGGAGTAACTGTTGCGTCTGTGGGGTCGGGTCAATGGGTGGTCTCGGCATTGCTACACTTTTCCACCGATGTCAGAATATCGTTTAAAGACTTGGCTGAAGTGTGTCGTAAGCGCCGATATTAAACAGATCAGCCATTTCCTCAAGAAAATACCCGGGATCGGTACATAGCGGGACCGATAGCCCCGATCTCACCGTCGAGCCCTACTGAAATCCCGAACTCCTATCCATTAATGGAATGAGGCTGCCTGACTTAGACTAGTAAAAATGGATCCAAGAACGGGGTCCTATATGCGACTAAAGCTGGAAATTTTAAATCTTATAAGTACCGAGTCTCTTCGGAGAGGATTGTTCTGAATCTCAAGTTTTATGATTCTTCCTGACGAAAATCTATCACTGGTACCGTACTAACATTCAACCATGACCCTTGCGATACGGTCTGTACAAAACACAGAAGAGTCTCACTATAGCTATGACCCCTCATTGGTAGTTGCAATAGTGGCAGCCGTTCTTTATGGCATCGCATTTCTTCTCACTTTGATTCAGTGGGTTCGATACAAATCATGGGTCTGGCTAACTATGGTGGTCGCAGCTGCGAGTAAGCTTCTAATATCTCTGCCAGATAGTCTCAAATTTTACTAAACAAGAACTAGTGGAAGCAATTGGTTATATTGCCCGATGCATTTCGACTCAAAACGTCACCGAAAAATCTGTTTATGTTCTCCAGTTCGCGCTCATCATTCTTGCCCCGGTCCTCATGGCAGCCTGCTGCTACGTCTTGTTTGGCCGAATTATTTTTCTTGTTGTCCCTCGCGAATCTCGAACATTCAAACTCTGCTGGGTTCCTCCTCGATTCATCACTCCACTCTTCGTCGGCTTCGACATTGTTGCTCTATTTCTTCAGTTAGTAGGTGCTGTGATGCTTTCATCTGTCAGCGTAGGTGATACAGGTGCAGCTCAGAAATTGGATAGAGGAAAATCTATTGCCCAAGCAGGCGTCATCATTCAGCTGGTCGCATTCGGCATGTTCTCCGTCGCTGCCGTTCGCTTCAACTTCACTTCGAAGCGATTCGCCAAATCCATTTCTGAGCGATACGAGAGCTCAGGAGAAAAGTCATATATTATTGATGGTCTTGTGAAGAAGAAACATTGGCCAGCCTTACTGCGGGTTGTCAACTTTACCACCCTGTTAATTTTGGTAGGTATCAGTACCTGATGGTATCTGACAAAGGAGAAGTAGTATGCTAACCTTTCCTTACTAGGTTCGTTCAATCTATCGTCTGGTTGAATTTACGGAGGGTACAACTGGTTACCTCAATACTCACGAGTGGACCATGTACGTCTTTGATGCACTAGTGATTTACCCATGTGTCGCTCTTTACGTCTACTGGCACCCTGGCAAGTATTTGCCGTATCTCGGGTTCCGTCTTCCCAAGGACGCTCGCTAGTATACGGAGCATTCAATTTTCTTTCAATGTGTGCTTTGCGGTTGCCAATGAAAGTTTGTTGGCCATATTGTTTTAACTGTTCTTTTTGATACCATATATGGCTTGACCATTCTGTTTTCAGGTTCTTTTTCTCGAATTTGAGTCATATTGAGTTCGCATTTTTCTGTATTTTTCCAATGCCTCACAAAACAAGTCTGTGATATTGCGGAGACTGTACCTCCACTGTTCCTTTTTTTTGCTTAGCCTTTGTTTCCAACCCCGACTGTGAGTGGCATGGGCATGATCTTTGCACCGCACAGTGCCTGGCTACTCGCATCAACCAACGAAAACATCTGTAACAGTCTAATAGTTTTCTGTACTGAGATGAGTAGAACTGGGATACCCGTTCAGTAAAACCAAGTCCTTAGTTCCGGGGGCTTTTGATAGATCTAATCGAGTAGAATCGATCTGTCGATCTAGAAGGGATTATCAAATCTGATCAAGCGGGTCTTGGCTAAAAATAGAAACACATTGGAAGAAACCGTTTGGACATTTGCTGGACACAGAATTGGGACCACAGACCCTTTAAGACAAGCGAATTCTGCTTGTCGGTACTGTAGCCCAGTGTCGCTCGATTTCTCGATTTCTCAATATCTCCCAGTATCTTCCGTTCAGTAGAGCACCGCGTTGCATCACATCGTCACGGTTGGACAGCGTGTTCTAGATCAGCGGACCCAATGTCTGTACTCCATACTTTAAATATGCAGGAACAGGGGATGTAGGATGTAGGATGTACTTGATGTACTTGACCCCCATAGCATTGACATGGTATTCATGGTATTCATGGTATCCATGGGCATGGCATGTTTTAGTCCGAATGTAGCGGGCGGTGCCTGACCCGCGTGGGTCTCCCAAGTCGGAGAACGCCCGCCAAGAACTCGTCGTTTCGCCTCCCTTTCAATCCACGCCCTGCAACCTACCTTCTTCCTCTCTTGATCTCCGAAAAGAAAGATTCGAATTAGATCTGCTCGTCCTGTTTGCCCGATTTGGCACCATGATTGACGTCCTATAAAGCCCGCGCACGTGCAAAGCTCTTTCGCAAAAGAGGCCACCATGGAGGGACTCTTCACTCTGCTCGTTCTGAGCATTGTGATGGCAATTACGTGAGCTAAGCCAGTCGCTTGATTTTGATGAGGCATATTACATCAATTCCAGTTCAGTTGCTAATATGTGTTCGCTTTCTCCCGCAGATCCTTTGTCGTCGGCTCATTACCTCTCGCGTTTACATTGTCCCCCTCTCAACTACGGCTGATATCCTCCATCGGCATGGGTGTGCTGGTCGGCACATCCTTGATTGTTATTATTCCAGAGGGTATTGAAACCCTCTACAGCGCCAAAACTATTAGCAAGCAAAGCCTCAATGCCCGAGCGACTACCGTTGAATGGCAGGCTCGCAACCTCCCCGTGGCCAGTATTCCGGCGCTAAATGACGACGACGTTTCTTCGTCCACCACCACCCCCGTTTCGTTCCTATCACTCAATAATGCGGACTATGAAACACCCCTGGTCAGCCGGGACCAGGCTTCCGCCGACTCAGAAGTACTCCGAATTCGCAAGGAGGAATCATCGAGCGACAAGTCAAGCCAGGAAGAGGAAGAGCATGAGCATGAGAGTTCCCCGCATGCCTGGGTCGGTATCGCCCTGGTTAGTGGCTTCATTCTGATGTACCTTATCGACAAATTGCCCGAATTTGCATCACCGACCAAACCGGAACGACAGCCCTACCACATCTCTCTTGATAACCTCGGCTCTGGACTGCGACGCAACTCCTCGCCCATCCGTGACGGAGGCCTCTTGGATGCAGGACAAAGCTCCCGCCGCGGCCACAGCTTTGCAACCACAATGGGCCTGGTGATCCATGCCGCGGCTGATGGTATCGCCCTGGGCGCTTCGAGCTCGGATACTGGGCTCAGCTTCATCATTTTCTTGGCTATTATGGTGCACAAAGCCCCGGCTTCATTTGGTTTAACATCAATTCTGCTCAAGCAGGGACTGTCCAGCCGGACTGCGAGGGCGCATTTGCTAGTCTTTAGCTTGGCGGCCCCCGTTGGTGCATTGGCTACTTTCCTCTTCGCCCAAATGATGGGATCATCCAACGGCGACGAGGCTGCTGCTCACTGGCGGACTGGTATGCTTTTGCTTTTCTCGGGTGGTACCTTTTTGTAAGTTACATGTTTTCCACATTCGTTGGAAAAGGATTGATCTAACCAAGGTATTTAGGTATGTTGCGATGCACACCATGCAAGAGAACGGCCCTGGATCGTCTTCGCGGACACTTCCTGTGAATGGCTACGGTGATTCTAGAGAGCAGAGCGGAGAAGACAAGTCGATGCGAGATTTGATTGCTTCGGTGCTTGGCATGATTTTGCCGCTGTTCTTGCAGATCGGACATGCCCACTAGAGATTCCACTTTGCTTTTTTTGCTTCTACTGCAGCCGGTTATAGATATCGACTCATTGATTCGCATTGATCTACCCGGAGAGGTGCGATAAAGTACCCAACAATTTGCTGAAGCGTCCTTATTTCTCATTCTCATTTTGCGATTTGTCCTTTTTATCTATTTTACGCGGCAAGATGGACGTCTGGAGAGCATATACCCTTGTTTGGCATCTGTTGAGAGATATACCTCTGGAAGAGAATGGCTTTACTACGGAGGGCATGAGCGCTCGGCCGGATTGCGGAGGATTTGAATGTGTCATTATCACTAGACTTGTATAATTGGAGATGCGTGTTGTTCATCATTGCATGATCTATTCCCCCCTGTGTATTGTAATTCCATAATCGCATGCTCGCTTTCGAAGTGCTTGTACAAAGGTGCTCTGTAACCACACTGAAGCTCTTAGCTCGTAGCGAAATATTGGGATTCTGCTGTCAGTTCTCAGCCAAAGAAGCCCAGAAAATACCAGAGCCATGCTTGCTGGATACAGAGATCAGTGGATTGGGTGAAGGGGGATATTGATAATAAAGTAGCATGCCGTTGTGCTTAGCCCGTTCACCGAGGCGGGGCCAACCATTCCTTTGATCGGCGAGGCGATGCCTCGCTCACCTTTCAATCGTGACTATCGTGGCAGATCGCGAGAGGGGATTGAGTAGCTTTGGACGCATGAAAAAGAGCCCGAGGGGCCCAATACTCAGCGTCTGTACTGGGAAGAAATGAGATCACGAAGGAATTCCGGAAAATCCAACAGCATTTTCAACGGACCCCTACCACCGGGGCTCGGCCGTGTGACGAACGATTCCATGATGGCTTTGCATAGTAGATTCCACGATCACATCGACGTAGCGTGACGTTGTGCGTAACCCCTCCTCTGTCTATAAAGGGCGGGCCAACCCTCTTTCGCAAGCGTGGAGGTGATTCCTTGATCACCTTTGAATGATGACCCTCCATGTCGGTGGGTGATGAAAGGTTTCGTCAGTCTCGTCAGTCTGAATCATCCTTGCCCGACGGGTCGTTCCATGGTCGGCGGCAACGTGCCGACCGGGCATCCACGGACTCGGGGCTCCGTTTATAGATCTGAGATCTGAGACGAGAGAGATTGGACGGCGTGGGGCCGTCGGGAGTAGCGCGGCATTCCATTCTGGAAGGGCGCTTGCAGGGGCGATCGCGAGGTCCGGCGTCCGCCGTGCAAGTCGGATGCCTAGCAAGGGGTGAGGTTGACGCGAGAAATATCTTTGATTGTGTATAACAAAGCAGGCTTCTTCGGGTGGCCATCGCGGGATTGCCTCGTTGCCTCCATGCCATGTGTGGTCCACCTGTGGAGAAACATGAACAACGAGGACTATCGTTTCAGAAGTGGAGTTCAATGGGGGGAGCTTGGCGGCGTTAGTCAGTGGCGGTCACGACACTCAACATCTGAGATCACGGGTTGCTCTTGGTCAGATAATGCCTATGACCCTGGGCGCTCTCTCACTTTTCGGGGAAAAATAATATTTTCCAAAAAAATATAAGGCACACCCAAATGTCATTCAGCCCTTGCTGCAAGATCAAACGGAAAGAAGAAGAAAGAAAAACATCTATAAAGAAATAAAAAAAGGACCCGAGTCCAGGCCTCCCGGGGATTTTCGACTCCCTTTTGCCATTTGCCAGCCCCCGATCCGCATCCGCACCTGCGATACTACAACACACCCCTCCTACCGCCTACCTTTTCTCTCACCTCCAGCTCCAGCATTTGCTCTTGCTCTTGCTCTTGCTTTTGCTCTTATGCCCAGGCCCCGGTTGCGACAAACGGCTTTCTCGAAGTGCTTATAACCCGAGCCCTTTCGCCGCTGTCATATAATGGACTCTGATACAGGACTCGGCCTGGACGGCATGGACGACTCGATGTCGTCGACTCTCTCCGATCAGCTGGAGTCTCATCCTCAGCCCTCAAATCGCGACTCTCTTTCCAGTTTCACCAGCACTCCCACTCGATCCCTCAGTATCACCAAGAAGAATGTCACCTCCCTCCCTGCCAATCTACTCCCCTCAGCGCCCGCTTCTCCTCCGACACCCGCTCCAAGTCCGACGCCTCATCAACGGCCCCCGAACTGGCTCTCATCCGATGAAGAAGAAAATACATTCCTGCTCAACCTTCGCATCCACTTCAGTACTCTATCCAACGGCCGCAAACAAAAACTCCTCGAAGGACTCTTGGATGTATGCGACAGTCAACAACTCAGCTTTGTCTCCAGTTACGTGGGTCCCCGGTTACGCAAGGACCCTTTTCTCGTCTTTCCGAATGAACTGTGCTTGCGGGTAAGATGTCTTCAGCGGATCCCTTTTATATCATATAAGCCGCTAACAGGGGGTGGTGAAAACAGGTGCTCTCCTTTATCGATGACCCGAAAACACTCGCCCGAGCGTCGCAAGTGTCTAGGCGCTGGCGGGAACTGCTCAACGACGATATTACGTGGAAGAACCTATGTGAAAAGCACGCCTACTCCGTACGACGAATTTCCGACGAAGACGAGATGGAACCATCTACACCCCGCTCCGTGGATTTGAACTTGAAGCCCGACTCTCACGCGCTGAATCGACGCCTGACCGCCTCAAATGAGCCGTCGATGGAAAGCGCCCCGGGGCTTCCCCGCACTCTGTCCGGAGAGTGGCTTCCTCCACCAACCAGTTTCTCAACTCGCAGACGTAGAACTCGTCCGGTCTCTTACCGATCTCAGTTCAAACAAAAATACATGGTCGAGTCCGCGTGGAACAAGGGTGGTCGCTGCACCCAGCGCCATATCACCCCGGACCAGGGTGTGGTGACAAGTCTCCATCTCACCCCCAAGTACATCGTCGTCGCTCTCGACAACGCCAAGATCCATGTCTACGATACTAATGGCGATAACCAAAAGACCCTTCAAGGGCACGTGATGGGTGTCTGGGCCATGGTTCCCTGGGACGACATCTTGGTAAGCGGCGGATGCGATCGCGAAGTCCGCGTATGGAATATGGCAACCGGGTAAGTGATTGGGTCTCACCGACACCGAAATCAAACCAAAGAAAAGTGTCAAGCGGCTAACAAGCGGTGGTGTCAGGGCGGGAATCCACTTACTTCGGGGTCACACATCGACGGTCAGATGCTTAAAAATGTCTGATCGCAATACCGCCATTTCAGGGTCCCGAGACACGACCCTGCGCATCTGGGATCTGGCCACCGGGACCTGTCGCAATGTCCTTGTTGGGCACCAGGCCAGTGTTCGATGTCTCGCAATCCATGGCGACCTGGTTGTCTCGGGTAGCTACGACACCACGGCCCGGATATGGAGCATATCTCAGGGCCGGTGTCTTCGAACCCTGTCGGGTCATTTTAGCCAGATCTACGCGATCGCTTTTGATGGCCGACGTATCGCGACCGGGAGCTTAGATACGAGCGTTCGGATCTGGGATCCTAATTCAGGCCAGTGTCACGCTATCCTCCAAGGTCATACTTCCCTGGTAGGACAGCTGCAGATGCGTGGGGATACACTGGTAACTGGCGGCTCGGACGGCTCGGTACGCGTGTGGTCCCTGACTAAGAACGCCCCCATTCACCGGCTCGCGGCCCATGACAACAGTGTCACCAGTCTTCAGTTTGACAATACTCGGATCGTTAGCGGTGGCAGTGATGGCCGGGTCAAGGTTTGGAACTTGCAGTCCGGTCAACTACTCCGCGAACTCTCGACCCCTGCAGAAGCCGTTTGGAGGGTTGCTTTTGAGGACGAAAAGGCCGTGATTATGGCGAGTCGATCAGGTCGCACTGTTATGGAGGTAAGCTCGGAATATGTGTTATATTATTCTAGCATCCTTGTTCCTTGTCGCGCAGATAACTAATTATGGCCTAGGTTTGGTCATTTGCGCCTCCGCCGGATGACTTTGATGACTGGGTAGCGATCGAAAGCGCTTCCAGCACACCAGGCATTGGCTCTACCGATGACACCCACTTGAGCATCAACATCAACCCACGTCGTCGGACCCTCTTCTCAGATCCCCCGCCAACCATCTCCAGCAGTGACGCCGATCAACCAATGACCGATGCACCCTCCTGACCCTGACTTTTCCATCCATGCAGCAAATCTTTTGTTCGAATATAGCGTGCCATCTTACGACCACGGATATCCATTGTTTTTGTCTTCAGCGCCGAGAATTCTTTACTACCATCCTTTCTTTATATCGTTTTAAGCATATCTTGTTCTTGGAAATGAATGGCAAGTTCATTCCAGTGACCGAGCAGTTGCATATATGGTGTTGGACGTCCCCATCCACTTTTTTTTTGCCCCATTGATTTCCCTTTTTGGTCATAATTTTTGACATCTCAACTTTTGTTGGGTTTTGAGTTGCGCGGGAGTTGCCCTGGAGAGACTCATCATTATCAATGTCTCTGGAGTTCGTCCGGCGGAGGTTGGCTCATGCAGTTGTTTACATCCACCATCATTCGGCTGGATCATTTCGGAGTGATATACCGGATTCAGATTCATACCTTGTGATTTGTTTTAGTTATTCTTATTCTACTCAGTCATACTATCGGTCTGATCAAGACCGGTTCTGTTGGAGTGAGCTTTTCCATTGGACTGCCATGACGCAAAGTCTGGCAGCGCCGCAGAATGAGCTTGTCTAGATTGGAATGAAGAATGATTCAACAAGTATGTATTTTGATTCCTCGTTCGAGCGGAGTTACCGGCCCAGGACTACTGCTATACCAGTATACCGTAGATAAGCTCAGAGGTTCTTCCTGCGAGTGGCCCATTTTGGTTTGATTCCTGCGATCACTCCCTTCGTTCATTCCACGTCCGGCCAAAAGCATTGATCGAACGTTGCGCTAGTTTATAGAGTAATCCAACTGCGGAAGCGCATTACATTGGGGAGATCCAAGGCGTCATACCAGAAGGAACAATATCCAATGCCTTAACCGAGATATTCAGCGGCTGCTGAAGCATATAAATAGCGCCCTGAGCAATATCCCCAGCCAAGAGTGGTCTGTATACCATCTGTTAGAGGCGACAAGGCGAGTCCTTGAGAAGAATAATCTCTGAATATCAAAAACTCACTCATAACCCTCAATAAATTCATCATACATCTTCTTATCATGACCCACGCGAAGCGAGTGGAAATTCGTAGCAACAACACCTGGTCGGAGAGCAAGGACGCGGATATCCGTGCCACTTAGTTCATTTCGCAGGGCATTTGTGAAGGCCTCTTGACAAGCCTTGTTCGCGTGGTAGACTGCTTCGCCTGGGAATGGGGGCACTTCTAGCCCGGTGATCGAAGTAATGTTCAAGATTGTACCTGCTTTTCGGATCATCATAGAGTGGTTCAGGACGGAAAGGGCCATGAACATGTATCCAAGAGTCTGAATGGTTTCCTTTTTATTTCTGCATGTGTGCTGCTCGTGCTTTGATCTCGCTATCTCCTTATAAACTAGTATGGCATGGCATAGGTTCTCGATTTACATCTCGGTGGAACCATACGGAGCTAAAACAGAAGCTTCGCATTGCGTAGTCGATCGAATGCCACATACCAAGAGTCTTCAGTGCTTAATTCCTCGTCGAAGCCAAGTGCCCTTGCTCTTCCCAGATCCAAATGGCGGTCAAAGTCCATTACACTCGTCTTGCCCTTTGACCCAGTATTGTGAATACTCCTATATACGACATCTTCGCGAAGACCACGCTCACGGCATAAATTCTGAAACTCGTCCCAGCGGCGATCGATATACTGAGTTGGGGTTACACTATTCTTGCTCGGCCCAGTTCCCTCGAGTCCAAAGTAGGCGGCGATAAGTGGCCAGCGAGTCGACCATGATAGCGGAATTGAATTGTCGCCGACATTGAAGGTTTGGCCGTGCACTTTGTCTTTCGGTTGAAGGGAAGCAAAGATACAAAGTTGCGCGATTAGATCTTGATTACTATCAGTTGACAGCAGGGTCCAGCCAGTCTCGGAGCCCATGAAGGGGACACGGGCTCCAGGACCTTCCATTTCCCGGTAGAAGGACAGGTAAATCCCGGTGGATTGGGCAATGCAGTTAGCATTTCCAAACGGAGCAACGCCTATCTGTTGGAAGGTCAGCCTAACAAAAACGACAGGCCCGATAAAAATGAATTTTCGCGTACAACAATATCAGGTCGGACTTCGCACCATGACCATGTTTTGCCTGCGGACAACTCCTTAAGATGATCCTTTTGATGGTAGTAGAAGAGATCCTTGGCGAACTCATCTGAAATGCGTGGGAATGATTCTTTTAGAGGAGCCAGTCCCCGAAAGGGAAATTTATCCCCTAATAGAACTCCATACGCCTGTAAATGAAGTCAGTAGACCAAGAAATGACAAATAAACTCGATCAAAAGTGGGCTTATTTCATACCTTAGTACCAGTGATCAAAGTCACAAATTGAAAATTCGAAGAAAGCTTCTCGATCGTTTGCACCGAAACGCTAAGCATATGTTTATTCATACGGCATTCTTCTGGGCCGTCATGGCTTTCACGGTAGGCTAATTAATTTTTCAGTGTGAAGCGAGCATGGAAATCTCGTTGAAGAACCTATACCAGCGAAGTAAATATGGCTGACTGTTTCCACCGATGAGACCTTTTCAGAAAGAATGGTTGGCAAGGAGATGTCGTCTTCTGCCAGCAGGTCAATGCCTGATATTATCTGCAGCCGATTATCGCCATCTTCGCAAGGCCATTGGGCATCATCGAGATCAAATGGTCGATTGGTAATCGCTGTGACTTTGTCAAATGTGCCGATCGCAGGATAGCCGGAAAGCAGCTGATTTACCAGTGCCCAGCCACTGATTCCTGTACAGCCAAATACAATGGCATGTCGATTCTGATTCGGTGTCATAATTGAGGAGTATGTATTTGGGCTGCTTATTCGCAGAGGATGTCAAATTCGTGTCGATATGAATATGGACAAGGGTAAAATGCAAGGTAGACATTCTCGACTGGAAATACTTGTTGGGAACGGATTCCCCTTTCTTACTATATCACACCTCGATTACACTATTTATGCAAATGCTCGCAGTATGGTATGTAACAGGTCACATACGGGATTATTGATAATACAGCTCAGACAAATATGAAGCGATGTTCGATGCAGGTAATACAAGAGGGGCTACCCGGTGCGAAGTGTCCACGCGGACTGTCCATTCTAGGCTGGAATCTAATTCATGGGCCATCTCAGCTCCAGTCAGCTCCAATTCTAGTGTCATACATACTGCAGGCCATAGAAAAAGCGGTCAAGGCATTAAAATGGCGCAAGGGAGAGACTGGCACATCGCTAGTGCTGATGAGGTTTTGTTGAAAATATGTCCAATATTCAATTTTAAAAAGCAAAAGGTCACCTTCAAGTTGGAAATTGGTATAGCCTAGGGGGGCTTCAATTTAGCACTCCCCTTAGTTTTTCATGAGCGAATATCTACCGACTATAGTATTGGATACATAATCAATGCCAACCCCTCACACCAACATAATCCGCTCACTGAAGTTGACCACACTCGATGATCTGGACAGGTGCGCGAGGTTGACCCGAGTTAGATCCAAGAGATTCAATGCTCTTAACCAACTGCATGTTCTCAATAACACGTCCAAAGACAACGTGGGCTCCATCGAGCCAATCAGTAACGACGGTGGTGATGAAAAATTGAGAGCCGTTACTAGTGGCCATATCAGCATCATCCGCAAGGACATCAGGAGATACCATGCGACAACTTACGTGCCAGGACCGGCATTGGCCATAGACAGAAGACCAGGAATTTCGTGCTTCAGCTGGAAGTTCTCGTCGGGGAATGTCTCGCCGTAGATGGAACGTCCACCGGTACCCTTTAAATATGAATTAAGATCAATCGTCATCCAATATTAATGTACTGAACTTACATCGCCACGGGTGAAATCACCGCCCTGGAGCATAAACTGGGGGATCACGCGGTGGAAGCTGCTTCCCTTATATCCAAATCCACGCTCACCGGTGCAAAGGGCGCGGAAGTTCTCAGCCGTCCGGGGTGTGACGTCAGCGAAGAGCTCGAAAACGATGCGGCCCTGAGGGGCTACTGTGTATCAGTAAAGGCATTCATCTGGATAGTTCTGAAATGATTCTTACTGCCGTTGACTGCGATGTCGAAAAATACAATAGGACGAGACATGGTTGTTGAATGATAAAGCTGGAGGTTGATGGTTTGATAAACGACCTGTTTATCACAATCGAGTTTTATATGCAGGTGCGGGGAGTGGGATACGATAGTTTCGGAATAAGGAAAATACGCGACTAGTACCGGATTAATGTTTTTGGCGTTCTTTTGGCCTAGCGGTATTTCTTTTTAATTTCGGTGGACAGAATAAGGTGGCAGTACATCCACTCCACGAATCTGGTACATCCACTACTTCTTGGTCACCTAATGTTTATCTTATGCGTATCTCCAATGCTTAAGTTGTGGCAGCACTGAAAACAAAGCTAGCCAAAATAATCACCCTATAAGATCTATATAAGTCTTCTTCTTTTATTTATTTTATTGTAATTTACCTGGTTCTTTCCAATTTGAATTTATCGAAGAAGGTGTTGCGGGGCACCTAGCTAACCGAGTTAAGACGACCTTAAATTTTTTTGAGTTCAACCTCCTTCAAACCCCCCAGTTTTTGATATTTTGATGAATACGGAGTCTCAAAAAAATCCTTCAATGCTATAGTCTAAATCCTGATATATCCTAATATTTTTTACACCTTAAAACGATATTTAGTGGCTGTCATGTGACTGGCAGGTATTGCTGCCGCAAGTAGTGGATCTACCAGATTTGCGTAATGGATGTAATGCCACCCGGCAGATAAGATGGATAATTAATTCAGTTGAGCCTATGAAGTCATTTTTGTTGATTTTCGTGGGCATCATCATTGACACTTTAAATCCTTTTATGGATCATATCTACTCGTTTAAGGTGAAAATAAGTGGCAGCATTCAGTCGAGACCACTGACACTAGAATGGGGGAGCGCCAAGAGTTGCTAGACATTATCCAATACTATACTACTAGTAGTGTATGCAAGGCGTAGCCGCATGTAACGCTCGCCATTTCCCCAGCCCCTAGTAAACATTCCAGTCCGGGGAGCTCACAGAAATATTCCATGAAATCGTAGCCATTTATTTTCTGGTTCCCCATTTTATTCCTTCGAAAGAAGACATTGTGGCTATCGAGCCCCAATATTGAAGCAACCCTTGGAAAAGCTTAAGCTATTTCAAATCCTGAGATTACTCGTATCAACCCTCTTATCACGCAGGAATTGAATACATAGTTCCAAACCCCTTGCACCTCGCCCAGGCACGTGTATCCACCTACTCACTCCAATCGGTTCTTGCCCCGAAGGAAAAGACTTTTCAACTGTCAACCTTGGTGAAGCGACAGCAAATGCCTGGGTTCCTTCAATGGTAGTATGGGGACTTCACCAGTCGACACAGATGAATCCCGGGTCTCGTCAATCCTAATTTGCAACATACTACTCATTGTCGCTTCCACATTTGCTGTATGTGTTCGTCTCTATGTGCGACTGCGATATGTGAGCATTGGATGGGATGACTATTTCTGCGTGATCGGATGGGTAAGGATTCCTCCTACGTACGAGATTCGGATGATTGACTCTCATGGTACTGACAACGGTCTCTTCATTCTAGGTAGGGACATTTGTGGAGTGTCTCATGTGTGTCCTTAGTGAGTTGCAAGAAAGGAACCAGGGGTCCGTGTGTTGTTTTTTACTTATGCTCAATCTCTTAGTGACTCGATACGGGTACGGGCATCACATTGACACAATTCATGATGAGCGTAAGATAGGGATGTTTCTTAAAGTGAGCATTGCTTCTGCCACTTAAATCGATCCTGCAATTGACCTCAGTAATCGCCCAGCTGGACTTCGTCTCAGAACTGGCATATGTCGTTGCCATCTGTGCAATCAAGGCTTCCTTTTGCCTTTTCTATCTCAAGATATTCCCAGGCAAATTGTTTAGGATACTTTGTTGCTGCGTTTTAGCAGTCATTGTGGGAGAATCCATTGCTGGATTCTTCATTGTTATCTTCCAATGCTGGCCGGTTGCAAAGGCCTGGGACGCCCCTGGTGCTCAGGAGGGCCATTGTCTAGAGCTACTGACTTTCTATTATGTCTCGTTTGCGGTCCGATTGGTGACTGATGTGGCTCTCATCACCCTTCCCGTTCCTAAACTTTTACGACTCAAGACGTCGATTGGGAAAAAGGTGGGACTTATGGTAATGTTTGGACTCGGTGGCTTGTGAGTTCTTTCATTGTTTATCACAATATTCCTTGGCTCATGGAGTTTCTAGGGTGACGGTGGCCAGTATTATTCGAGGGACATATTTGAGTAACTTTTCAACCGACCATACTTGTAAGTTGCAACAGTCATATGGGAGTCAATACATGGCTGAGAGAATATCATAGGGACGCTCGTTCAGACCCTCAATTGGTCATCTGCAGAGCTGGGAGTGGGCGTTGTCATCTCCTGTGTGCCTTCTTTTAAAGCGCTGGTAACTTTCCAGTTCCCCGATCTTCGATCCTTGCTAGGACTTTCTAGTAACCGAAGCTATCCTGGATATCGTGAAAACTATAGTTTATCTGGCCGGCGGGAGACTCTACGAGAGGCTTCTCGATCCTGGAGACGATCACACGGGGAGATAGCACAGAGCAAGCTTGTTTCCACTCAACGGGCAAAAGCGGAGGTTGGGACAACACAGAATGACTCGAAAGAAGATATCAGCTCGCAACTCTCAGACGAAATTCGAGTGACGACAAATGTGACTGTTGACCGAACTGAAAATTCCCCCTCGGGCCCAAGCTAGCCCTTTGGAAGATGAGTGAGGGGTTTATTCCGCGAGGCCAACGCTAGAAAGTGCCAGTGACATTGTTGAATTGTTTCCTGTATGATATTTTAAAGAATGGCAGGAAAAGCGACACTTGGTTATTCACGAGGCATATTCTAAAATGTGAGGTGCTCAGATACGACGAGGTCAATATATAGTAAGGTAGCATTCGATGAAAATAATCATCACAGGGAGGAAAGAGAGGAAGGAGGACGAGACGGAGGACCGGCAACTACCAGTAGATACCTACTGGTGGATGAGGGAAGGAACAAAGGCAGACAACGTCCGCATCAAAAAGGAACAAAGTTCTTTGACAAAGCGAAGAAAAGAAGAAAAAAAAGCTTATGCTCTGAGCCAGGCCTCATAATCGAAGTACCGGCACGTTCAGGCCTCTCGTGGGGAGGGTTCCTCTCTTACAGGCCCGAAGGCGCCCTTTAACAAACGTAGCCTGGCTTGAACCGTTGGAGGGGGAAACCGCGCAACCTCGGCAACCCGGAAACCTGAAGGAGGCTGGTTTCGAACCCAAACGAGGACCTGTCTATCTGTACACGAGGTACTACAGGGTGCACGGCAGGTGTATGCGCGTCGTCTTTGCCTCTAACCAAGTGAGCCACCTTGGCGGGTTAACACCACCTTACCCAGTTTCAACTGATACCCCAATACGAGATGCACATTTTTCGCCATTTTCTCTGTTTTCAACTTTGTTGATTGATTGATTTTGATTAGTTTGTTCTCCCCGAAGGCTTTGCTGACGATCCCCTTTCTGGGAACCGATGGACTGATGTACTCTTCCCGCATATTGATAGGATGATCAGAAGAAGCAAAACCACCCATTGCAACGCAATCAATGTAGAATGAGTCACGCGATGTACGCTGACTATAATAGAATTGTCCTTATTCCCATTTTCTTCTAACCAAATCAGAACTGATCACAAGCTTGTTCCACCCTAGATCGCAATTTCACCTGTCTGGCCAGTGTAGAGCTGACTAATGACTAACCTTCTTTGTATCCGTCTCCTTCCACGTATGCACGCGACTCTTGCCAAAACGTGTGCCTCCCTCTCTGCTGTATCGAGGCCAGTGAGGTTGTTTTTGTTTGTGTTGACCCTTCCAAATCCGAAGAGTTCGTTCGCACATCCCGGTCTAGGTACTATGTGCATGCACTTCGCTCGGATCAGATAGCCGAGCCGACTTAGGGGGCGCACCATCGACGATAAGCGGCCCCTCCCCCGTGGTCTGTGGAACCCTCCAGTTCGTCCCAGTCGAAGAGCGGAGCCTGTTCAACCCCCGCCGATTGTCCGAGTCCTGGGCCCTTTTTTTTGTTCCGACGGAGTTCTGGGGGTGTGAAAAATGGTGTATGGCGGTAAGCCAAGCACTGGATGTCACCTGTGTCGTAAACGGAAGATAAAGGTAAAGCACAATGGATGGAGTCACGCTACATTTTCCCAATGATTGTTTACCTTGATTCCTGACGCCTCTACCGATTGAGACAAGGGAACCTTTAGCTGACATTCCTTAGTGTGATGAAGGTCGCCCCGGATGTCGTAACTGTGGTGTTTATGGCCGGCCTTGTCCGGGATACCGACCAGATGCGGTCTTTCGCAATGAGACCAGGAAGACTGAACGATTGGTTAGGAAAGATGCGAGCTCATCGTCAAGTGACAGCGACAGTCAAAACACTACCACGTCGAGTTCCCCCACTGACCACTCTGGAATCATTGATATCCGTCGCGGAAACCGGACTCGGGAGCATTCGTTAACGACGATTCAAATCGCGGATTCCACATGGGAACACCGTGCATTATGTTATTTCTTTGACCAATATACAATCTCTGCCGAATTCGAAGATGGTATGAGCCATCTCGAATATGTGCCCAATTTATATGCACGCGCTGTTGAGCTGAACGACTGGAAGGCATCGTCCTCGTGCCTTCGCCATGCAGTGGATGCAACCTCTCTGATGACTTTTGGCAATATTTCAAACGCGCCGCAATTTGTCATGAAGGCTCGTCAGTGGTATGGGAAGGCCCTGCGCAGCTTACGAGATGCTTTGGCAGAGCCCTCTACGGCGGTTCAAGACGAGACCTTTGCGGCAGTGGTGCTCCTCTCGCTTTTCGAGGATATAAGTGGCGAGCGAAATGGGCTGTATAGCTCACATACAGCGGGGTTCGAATTCTTGATGAAAGTCCGGGGCGAGGGCCAACTGGAATCCCAGATGGGTCGTGATATGTTCAACTTCGCCTTTACGCATACTGTATGTCTCTTCACAGCCCCTATTCTCCAAAAGCAT